CATGCTGGGAGCCACACCTAGGGCCCCAGCAAGAGGAGGGCCTTGGGCCGGCAGACTGGCATATTCAGGGCTCACTTTACCTCTGCTTCTTCTGGGGCCGAGACCCTTGACTGAAGGAGCAAACCCCAAATCTCCCCACCCCCAACCGAGGCCCCAGCTGAGACTCAAGGAAAGCTCCAGGCTGAGTCCAAATGCCAGATAGTCTCCAGCTGCGCTCGGCTCGGGGCTCCATCACCATGGAGATGGGAGCTGGGGAAGCTAACCCACCCCTTACCTCCTGTGACGTTCATCAGCTGCCCCTTCTCCCCCTCATACAGGAAGGGTGGCATATTGGCCTTCTCCCAATTTGGATTCCTGCACACAGTGGACCTGACCACTGCATTCAGTGCCTCTGATCTGGGAAGATTAATTGAGGTGCTGCTCCTGGCAGGGCAGGTGAAGGGGCTGCTTGCTTGGAGGATGTATTGGGGGTGGGAGGAGCAGCTTAGAAGGGGTTTGGACCATCAGCTAAGCACTGTTTTGGGGCTTCCCAGCCACCAGCAGAGTTCTCTGATGGTTCCCTTTTCCTGCCTCATGGCTCAGGAAGCACCAATGGTTGGGGGTAGCACAGGGTGGGTAAGGGTATCTCTGCGTCAACCCAGGCATAGGGAGAGCAATCCCTTAAAATGTTTCATTCTAGCACCTTCCAACTGGTTGTGTGTTTCTTAGGACTTCTCTATCTTATTCATGCTTCAACTCTCTCCTCAAATGGGGATTCAGTGTGGGCCAGAGGCAGGGACCAGCTGACTTCCTGGGTGCAGCTGCTCCTTGGGAGCCCTGCATGGGGGAGAGGCCTGGAAAGTAGGCCTTCTAGTCCATTTTTCAGTCCTCATGTCCTTTGGGCTATGTTCTGTAGCTGACTCTGGACAAACGTCTCTCCAAGCTTGAAATGGGGGGGTGGAGAGGCAGAGAGGACACTACTTGGGTCTCTTTATTCTACCTCAGCTCTTTACCCCAGGGCTGAGTAGCCCTTAATGGATGTGGAGGGGAGAACAACAGGCTTTGTGGGAGTGCAGGGAGCTAAGGCTAATTCAGGGTAGAGAGAGGAGTACACAGCCGCCTCCTCTTCCTCTCCCTCCCTCCCTCTTTCCCTCTGCCCTGTCAGTGCAGCCCCAGTCAGGGCAGAGAGCAGAGGGCAGAGGGCAGCTGGAATGAGCCTCCTGAGCCAGGACTGGCTGTATTATTCATGATTGGGCATGTATGTTGAGTTGCCTCTCCTGGAAGAGGGGGTGGGGTGGTCCAGGCTAACCTCTGCTCCCTTTCCCTGGCCACAGGAGCTGACACGATGAGTGACACAAGTTCTGTGAGCCTGGAGGTGAACCCTGGCAGCCGAGAGACTTCAGCCGCCACACTGTCCCCTGGGGCAAGCAGCCGTGGCTGGGATGAGGGTGACACTCGCAGCGAGCACAGCTACAGCGAGTCAGGCGCCAGTGGCTCGTCCTTTGAGGAGCTGGACCTGGAGAATGAGGGGCCCTTGGGAGAGCCACGACTGGACCCTGAGACTGAGCCCTTGGGGGCTACCAAATGGCCCTGGGAGCCCAATACCCTTGAGAAGGGCAAGGAGTAGCCCATGGTCTGCACCCTCCTGTGGTGCAGTTGCTGAGGAACTGAGCATACTTGCAGCCCTCTTCTTCCTTCATCTCCTGGGCCCAGGCTGGGGTTGGGCATGGCTACAGGACCTGATTTCTTCCCCAGGCCCCTTGCTAAGCCTTCTCTTCACTGCCCTTTCGGCTCCCAGGGCCAAAAGAGCCAGGGACTCTTTTCTGCACCAGCCTCCAGGGCTGCCTCTTGTGTCTTTTTTCAGACCCGCATTAGTGTTCCAGGACCCAGAATAAAGCAGATGATTTTTGTGTTTCACTTGGATTTGGGCTGTGTGTTTGACTGTTAATTCCACCATGGGGACCCCTGTACAGATAGAGAACTGGGAGAGGGCAGGGGCTCCACAGCACAAAGCGAGGAAGGAACACGGCCAGGTACCCTGGGGTGGGAGGAGGGGTGTTGGAGATCCTCTACTTCTTGCTCTGTGACCCCAATGGACAGCTGTCCTTCCATTGCAGTTGCCAGAGAGCAGGCAGGGCAGGGAAGGGTTGTGAGAACTGAGCACAGAGTGGCCTCCAAGATTGAGGAGCTTGTAGCCTGGCCCTGTGTGTCTCCAAGAGATGCCTTTGTGTCTGTGACTCGAGTGTTCCCATGATCACGCTGGGACTTCCCCAGCAGGTGGGAATGTCCCTGCTGTGCCTATGTACCTGTGTGTGCATGTGCACCATGTTCATGGGTTTTGTTCTGTAATCATGGATGGGGCTGCTGGTGGCAGTCCTGGCTAAAGCTGTGCCTGAGTGAGCATCAGGATGTGGTGGTGACTTGGCATGGCTTTATTTGTGTGGATGGCTGTATGCTGTGTGTGTGTGTGTGTGTGTGTGTGTGTGTGTGTGTGTTGATGTGCTTTGTGTGTCTAATTGTATATTATAGGAGCATGTGAGGCTGGCTAGCTGGGAGCAACTCTTTGTGTGTGCTTTGTGTGTGACTGCGTGTCTAGTCACGTGTTTGTGTGTTTTACCATGTGTCTGCATATAAAGCTATGGGTCTGCAGCTGTGTATCCATGATTACAGGTGTGTATATATGGATATATCCCTGTGGACTGCCGTATGTGTTGCTGTGTCCACATACAGCTGTCTTTGTGGGCATGTTCACATGTACTTAAGGGATGTGTCCACATATATAGCTGTGTGATTGTGTTTTTCCATGTACTGCTATGTATGTGACTATGTCCACATGTACAACTGTGTGTAAACCTGGGTGTATGTCCTTATCTGTGTGCACAGCTCCCAGAGTCTACGCTGTCTGGGAGCTCTCTGTCTGCATGGCTGTGTGTAACTGCATGTTCATGTGCTATAGTGGGAGTGTGCAACTTGTTTGCTGTGGGCCACACAATGGGCTTTTCTTGGACTGGTGCTGTGTGTAGCCATGTCAGTGTATACAGCCCTGTGTCTTTGGTGAGGCTGACTTGGTGAGCAGGCTGGGAGTGTGTCGGGAGGTATGTGACTCTTCTCACCCCAGCATCCTCCTGCTGTCAACCCCTCTGCTCCAGTGGCCTGGCCCATCTCTCACCTACCACAGGACACAGTTGCTCTGAGCCAACCGGAGGGCGAGAGCAGCCGGTGGCAGGGCCAGAGCTGGAAGAGAGCGTGTCTGTCTCCCCAGCCTTGTCTGACAACTCTGAACCCTCATCTTGCTGCCACCTTGTCTCCCGTTAGTGAATGGGTTTGTGTTTGTTTGGGTTTGATAAGTCTGTTTTGTTTCAAAGCTGTGTTCTGTCCAGATTAGTGGAGCACCGGGTTTGTGTGTCCAGGAAAAAAGCTTGTCTTTGGTGATCCAAACCCCTGCCCACTACCACATGCACATGTGGGTGTGTGTGACTGAGGGGCCTGGGATGTTCTTCCACCAACAGTGGAAGAACCAGGGGAACGTGTGTCGGGATGCTGTGCCCCTTAGCACTTGTTAGCATGTGTACATGTTGGGGGCAGATAGCACAGGCTTTGGGGCTAGATCTGGATACAGGCGTCAAATCCTCCCCAAACCTTGAGCACAGTCTGGCACTACAGCTTATCCACCAACCCCTACCTAAGGGTGTCCTTCCCTATCCTGCTGTGGGAGGGAAGAGTCAAGAGCATCTTCTCAGAGCTGTCCTCCCTCTACTTGGGCTATAGCTCTCACTCCTACGCAGCAATCAGTTCCAGGAGCCTTTCCTCAGGCCCTTCCCCTCCCAGCTCCCCCGGCCAGTTCTAATGTCCCCCAGCATTGACCCTAGTCTCTGATTTTGTGGCTCCTTCCCCCCTCCAGGTTGCTATCTCTTTGTCATAAAAACCATTTGTACATGGGAGTGGGGATTAGTTGCGGGGGGAGGGGAGACGGGTACGGAGACGCTTCAAAGGTCATCTGCAGGGAGGAAAGGAAGGCCCCATCCTCTGACCTCCCCAGTGACTCAGGCCCCAGCTCTCACTTGGGCTGAAGACACATGTCCCCAGCTCAGGCCTGGCATGTGGATCGAGCTGAAGTCTCTTGATGGGAAGAATGAATCCCACCTATCTCCCACGTGCCCCTGTACCTGTCCTCCAATGATACCCTGTGACCCTAGGGCCAGCTCCTCCGCTCCCGCAGGCAGGACCCCATAGCACTGTGAGCACCTCTCGGGGCTCAGTGGCCTTCACAAACCCGTACCCCGTTCCCTGCCCGCTCCCTGTTCTGCTCTCTGGGAGGTAGTCTGATTACGGGGAGGGTGGAGGGGACCACGAAGCACCTGCTCCAGCGAGCTGCCAGAGCGCCCGGGGATTCAGCACCACGAGGCGGACAGCTCCGGGCCCGGCAGTCCCGCGAAGAGCG